CGGCAACCTATGAGACCTGTATTTATGCGCCTGATGTCAGTTCATGCGAATGCAAAATAGGAGATATGGTCAGAAGCATATTGGTAAGTGTAAGAACGCGTGCGACCGTATGCGGTTGTGCTACGACGATCAAGTAACAGACACGGACTGTTAAGTGTACAAACCGCCTTTACAGGCATGTGTGGTGCACCAAAGTTCTGTTACCATCTTACATAACTGAGCCGCGCCCAACCAACGTAGGCTGGATATGGACTATGAGAGTATAGAGCAGAGGGGAAAGAGACCACCCGAAACAAATTGCAGCAACCGTATCTGTAAGCAGACAGAAATCTATCCAGGCAAATTATTTAACATGCCTCCGGAAGACTCCACACCATTGCAAGACCCCCGCCAACTTACTTGGTCTACTTGCAACGACCGAGTCCGCTCATGATCTCCAACGTCCAATCTGTGTGTTCCTTTTAACCGCCCGTATCTGTTTCCAACGACCGAGTGCACACAGCGACAAACCAAGGAATCTACTTCAGGGGGTCCTCAAGAAGACTAGCTAATAAACGAAAGAGACCAGGATCATGTGCACTACAAGTCGAGAACAGTATTGGCCGCAGATTTTTCCATGTCGGGCGACATATTGTGGGAGACTGGACAAAGTGGTCAAGAGTACATAATTAATTCGGCACCTGCTAGTTGGCCTTTAGAGGTATTACGCATACCCAAAAGACGGCGTGCTTTCAATAAACTCGCACTGTCAAAGGATGACTAAGCCAGGTGTCGGCAGAAGATACTATAAAACCACACACACTAGCCCAAAATGGGGTATTTATAAGTACATTTGGGCCGCTTCACATGAGCGAATTGTCATGTGCTGCTAACCTACAATAATACAACCTAAGGGAGGCCAACATTAGTACATATACATCCTAACACCTCTGACAATACAGTAGTCCGTTCCACGAGGGCAACGAACGTGAGCTTCGAAATAATAATTTACTGATAAGCTTCAGGAAGTAGCCACAACAGGAATAGTCTTCCTGCGCAAGGAGTTGGCCATCCTTCTGTGAAAGTACGAAATAAACTATAAAAGGAAACAGACAAGGAGCGAACGCTTGGGACAGGATACATTACATTAATCCTAGATAGCAGGTCGAAGGGTCTCCAGGAAAAGCAGGGCATCACAAGGTGAGAGAACTTTTTAACCTGAAAACCACAAGTCGAAAAAAAGAGGTGGCACAGAGAAAAACAGATGGCTCCTTTTTTTAAAAAATAAAAAGTGTCGTCACCCCATTCTGCT